AGAATATAGGCTCTCAAAGTAGCCTCTGATGATTTTCTGGATTTCTGTGGTGTTTGTTGTTATCTCCTCATTTGCATTTCTGATTTTACTGATTTGGGCTTTTTTCTCTTCTCATTTTAGTCAGGTTTGCCAGGGGTCTGTCAATCTTATTTCTTTTTTCAAAGAACCTGCTTTCTGTTTCATTGATTCTTTGTATGTTGTTTTGTTTGTTTGTTTCTATTTCATTGATTTCAACCCTTATTTTTATTATTTCTTTCCTTCTGCTTATTTTAGGATATTCTTGTTTTTGTTTTTGTAGGAGTTTGAGCTGTAGTATTAGGTCATTGATTGGAGATCTTTATGACCTTTTAATATATGCACTCTTGGCTATAGACTTTCCTCTCAGGACTGCCTTTGCTGTGTCCCATAGGTTCTGGTAGGTAGTGTTTTCATTTTCATTTCCAGGAACGTTTAATTTCCTCTATGTTTCATCAATGACTGACCCATTCATCATTGAGCAATGTGTTGTTCATCTTCTAATTGTTTGCATGTTTTTTTACTGCTGTTTTTGTTAATTTCAAGTTTTAATGTATTGTGGTCAGATAGAATGCATGGGATTATTTCTATTCTCTTATATTTGCTGAGTCTTGCTTTGTGCCCTAAGATATGATCAATTTTGAAGAAGGTTCCACAGGCTGCTGAGAAGAATGTGTATTGCACAGAAGTTGGATGAAATATTCTGTAGACATCAGCTAGGTCCATTTGCTCTATGGTGTGATTTAGTTCTAGGGTTTCTTTATTGATTTTTTTGTTTGGATGACCTATCTATTGGTGATAGGGGAGTATTAAGGTCTCCCACTATCACTGTGTTGGAGTTTATATATGTTTTTAGGTTCTTCAGAGTATATTTGATGAAACTGGGTACATTGACGTTGGGTTCATATAGGTTGATAATTGTTATTTCCTTTTGGTGTATTTCCTACTTTATTAGTATGGAGTGTCTTCTGTATCTCGTTTGATCAATGTATGTTTGAAGTCTACTTTGTCCAAGATAAGTATTGCTACCCCTGCCTGTTTTCAGGGACAATTGGCTTCGTAGATCTTCTTCCAGCCTTTCACTCTCAGTCCATACTTATTTCTGTCAGTGAGGTGGGTCTCCTGTAAGCAGCAGATTGTTGGATCTTTCTTTTTAATCCTTTTTGCCAATCAGTGTCTTTTGATGGGGGAATTTAGTCCATTAATATTCAGTGTTAGTATTGATAAATATGTGGTGATCCCTGTCATGTAGTTGTCTTTGTTGATTAACAGTTTGATTGTGTGCAGTGTTACTCTTTATTTTCTTGCTTTTTTCTCCTGTGGTTTGGTATTGCCTGCCCTTTCATGTTTTTGTTTGCTTTCATTTTCTGTGTGCAGAATTCCTTGGAGAATCTTTTGTAGTTGTGGCTTGGTGGTCATATATTGTTTTAGTTTCTGCTTATCATGGAAGAGTTTTATTATTCCAACTATTTTGAATGATAGTTTTGTTGTGTAGAGTATCTTAGGATTGGAGTTATTTTCATTCAGTGCTTGGAAGACCTCACTCCATGCTCTTCTTGCTTCTGTTGAGAAGTCTGCTGTGATATTGATGGGTTTCCCTTTGTGTGTTATTTGTTTTTTCCTCCCTTACAGCCTTCAATATTTTTTCTCTAGTCTCTGTCCTTGTTGTTTTAATGATAATATGTTGTGAGGTAGTTCTATTTTGGTCAGCACTGTTCAGGTTCTGGAAGGTTCCTGTACCTGAATGGGCTAGTTTTTCTAGATTTGGGAAATTTTCTGTTTATTATTTGTTGACATATTATGCATTCCTTTTGTTTGCACCTCTTCTCCTTTTTCAATGCCCATGATTCTCAGGTTTGGTCATTTGAATGAGTCAGTAAGTTCTTGCATTTTATTTTCACAGGTCTTGAGTTGTTTAACTAATAGTTCTTCAGTTTTTCCTTTAATTGCCATTTTATCTTCAAGTCCTGAGATTCTGTCTTCTGTCTGTTCTGTTCTGCTGGAATGCCTTCCATTTTGTTTTGTATTTCTGTTTCATTCTTTTTTTCTGAGGTATTCCATATCATGGGCTACTTCCTCTTTAATATTGTCAATTTTTCCCCTTAATTCATTTATCTCTCTGTTTATGGTGGTCTCAGTTTCAGTTTGGTGTTTATTTAGGGCTTCTATGATTTCATTTATTTGTTCCTGTGTTTTCTCATATTCTTTGTTTTTGTTTTCTTGGAATTTCTTGAGTGCCTCCTGTATGTTTTGGTTGACCATATCTAGTAACATATCTATGAAATTCTCATTAATTCCTGATTAGGATTCTTCTTTCAAGGTTTTGTGCTTGGCTATTGGGTTCGTTGGTGTAGTTTTTTTTGTTTTTTGAGTCTGGGATTGCGTATCTGTTTTATTCACTTTGCCTCTAAATCCTGTACTACTTTATTGAGGGGGAAGAATGTTTCCCTCCCTTTTTTCTCTTCCCCATATTTCCACTAGGTATGTTTCTGTCCCTGGGCTATGTGTAAATTTGTATTAGCTGGGTTACAATATTAATACTAACAAAACAAAGAGGAGAAAATAAAAAGAGAGAGATGGAAAGATAAAAGGACGAGAGGAAGAGAGGAAAAAAACCTATTGTAGAGATGTGGGTATCAAACAGCAGACCACAAGCAGCCAAACTCTTAAAAGAAGGGAGAATAAAAAATCACCAGTTCTGGAGCAGTGAATTGCAGTCTTAGTTTGTTACTCTTTAGCATGCAACTCCTGTCTGTGTATTGTCTCTTAGGCAGATTTGGAGACCTCTAGTGGTGGCCTGGCTGTTCTTTTATTAGATTGTGGCATGGAGGAGCCTTGCATAATCTAAGGGTTTAGAGTGCCATAATTTGTCTTGGCTCTTGCTGTGCTGATATACCTCAGCCAAGCACATGTCTCCAGAGTCTCAGCAGAGTCCCGTTCAGGAACTCAGGAGGTCTGCGGCTCTGTCTCAGTCACCATCTGGATCTCCCCCAAACCATACATTGTTTGACAATCATTTGTTTTTTCCTCTTTGTAGCCTTCTGAAAACTGCATTATCATCTTGTACATTTTTAAAAAATCTATTCAGTTGTTGCATGTGAACTGGGTCTGGAGTTGTGGTTAATTCAGTGACTCTGTGTTTGTCCTGTCAAGGACTCCACAAGCTTCTTCCACAGTGGCTAAGCAGCTGCATCATTTCCTCATTCCTACTAGCCATGCACAGGATACTCCAATTTCCTCAAAACCTCTTGTACATATCATATATATGTCTTTACTCCAGATACTGGTTTCCTGTCAGATATAATTTTTTAGTTTTTTTCTATTCTGTGAAGTATATGTATTCTTTTTTTGTCAGTGTCCTTTGATGCAGCAAATATTTTAATTTGAATGAGGTTCAATTTACTAAGTTGGTGCTGTGCTTTGGGGATCACATCTAGGAAACCACTGTCAAGTCCAAGGTCAGAATACTTGTTACCTTTTATCTCTTACTTAGCTCTTTCTTTTTGAGTTTAATTTTATATATGACGTAATGTAGGTATTCAAGTTTATTTTCCCCGCCCGTGGGTTTCCATTTGTCCCAGACAATCTCAAAAAACTTATTCTAGAATATAGCTCTCATGAATGTATGTGTTAATTTACTAATCTCCACTCTCTTCCATAGTCCTGTGTGTTTGTCCTCAGATCAGTGTCACCCTGTGTTGATTACCATACCTTCTTAGTAAGTTTTGAAGTTGAGATATATGAGTCTGCCAGATTTTTTTCTCTTGCGAAAAAATATAGAACTTTTAAATGTTTTGAAATCATCATAAGAAGTACACTAAGGTAGAAAGAGGTAGAAAGGAGAAAAATAGAGTTCTAATACATGTACACATGGAAAAGTCACAAGGAAACTCCCTGTAGAGCTATATTAAACAAACAATATACCTTTTGTCAAAAACGGAGATCAGGAAAGTAAAGCAGGTCTGTCTGGGGGATGGTACCAATACCTGTAATACAAGGAAAGGTGAAGGATGCCCGAACATAATGGAAATATTATGTACTTATGTATGCAAATGGAAAAATGAGATGTATGAAACTATTCCAGGTATGAAGGCAATGAGGATAAAAGAGAATTATGGAGGGTGATATATTGTAAAGCACTTTTGTAAATGTCACAATGTACCCAAGTACAAAAATAATATAATGAAGGAAAGAAAAGTCCCAGTATTGTTCTGGTATTTGGTGCTCCTTGCAACTCTACAAGAATCTGAGGATCAGTTCTTTCTTTTCTACAGAAAAATGCAGCTATTATTCTGGTAGGGATAACATTGTAGATCAATTTGGGAGTACACAAATCTTACCATCTTAGCAAATATTTCTAGTCACAAACACGTGACATTTTCCATTTTGTCCAAATTTTCTTTCAATTCTTTGAACAAAACTTCTGTGATGTTTAGTATAAGAAGTCTTTTTCCTTCTTTGCAAAATTCACTCCTAAATATTTTATTGTTTGATGCTATAGTAAATAGGATCATTGTTTCAATTTCTAAATATGCTATGGTGAGATTTCCTTTCTCATTATATTTTATTTGTGTAGGCAACTGAAATGATAGAGTTTCAGCTCTTTATAATCCTTAATAATTATTAATTATTTTAATGTTCACATAGTTCCACATTTTGGCAAATGGAAGCTTCTTTTATATGGCTTATGTGACCTTTTGATATTTCACTATAATTCTCTGAGGAATTCTTTAATTTCTGAAACAGATATTCTCAGAGTTAGTATGGAATTTTTCCTGGCATAGTCCCTAAATTACCTTTCTCAAGTAACACAGGTACATTTAAGTGGACCATGGAATTAGGAAACTAAGATCTGTACAAAACTCATAACTTCTTAAAATATACAGTGATACTTTCATATATTAAAGTTTTTATTTGTATATTTTGCAAAATCAAGTAGTGGAAATTAATCATTAATGCAGTTTACCTTTTGCTTCTCCTTGTAGTTCCTCCAGTCATCCGGGTGTATCCTGAGAGTCAGGCCAGAGAACCAGGGGTAACTGCAAGCCTTAGGTGCCATGCAGAGGGTATACCAAACCTCAGCTTGGCTGGCTGAAGAATGGAATTGATATTACACCAAAGCTGTCCAAACAACTCACACTTCAAGGTGCTTTTTACTTGCATTTTTTCTCTTATATTATCATGTAAAACTTTTATACTAAAACTAATGACACATTTTACATTACATGGGAAAAAAAAGAAAATGAATGCTAATGGAAATAGAATATCTGGAATATAAAAAATGTTATATCTAAGACACCTGAAACAGTCCTTAAAATTTTTAATGTTTGAAACAGTAATCTTTGTTGTAATGATTAATTATGTCATTATTTGGTGTAAGTATGATATTAAAATTATGTACCTTTAGATGCTTGTCTTGTGAATTATAGCAGATATGCTGAACAGAATAATTGGATGTTTTCATAAACTTTTGAAGTCACTTCTTAGATATTTAAGTAATATATTAAAATATATATTGCAGAGACATTTTAGTTATATTTTTCAACATAATTTGCAAATGAAGAGATACAAAAGTTTAAAGTGACTATGTTTCTTATTTGAATTGCTTTGAAGTTATTGATTTCCTTCTCTGTCTAAAATAATCTCCAGTTCCTAATATTCTAATATGTATATACATTACTCAATTATTATGTAGACTGCAACAATCACAAGTAAGTGGAAACTGAAAAACAAAAAGAGAGAATTTCTGTTAGACCAAATAATTTAAATAATGAGAAAGCAATTGCATATAATATGTAAACCTTACTAGCTTTAAAAGAAGTGAACAAATCTGATTTGCATTTTTAAATATAGTAACAGAGCATTCAGTGGAATATTATGAGTGTTATGTATTATGTTCCTCATTCCATGCCCTTAACTCCAGTATTGGAAAAATTAATATGTTTTCATTTTATTTTTTCTATGAGCATAGGTTTCAATTATTATTTTCACTTTAATAGTAAATAACTTTCATCAGTAAAGCTTTTTAAATAAAATCTTAAAACTTTAACTTATTTTTATAAAATAGTGATATGTTTAAGAAGGAATTATTGAACTTTAAAAACATAAATCCTAGAAATTCCATATGGCTAAACATAGGCTCAACAACTCTCTACACTGTAAGTATTGCTTACATCTCAGAATTTGTAATCTGATTAACAGAGACTTAACGAAGTCTAATTCCTTCTGATCCTGTCCTCTCTTGCTCATTTAATAGCAGTGAACCATATCACACAAGCGTACTTACGTGGTATTCTCTGACATATGGGAATATCAGGGAGACAAATCTGAGGAATCATTACACTCCAGACCCTACACTGAAAAAGTGAAGTCCCTTGAAAATTATTTATTGTTAATTTTATTTCACTTTGTTTTATTTTTTGGCAGTAGTAGGGTTTGAACTCAGGACTGATCATCTGCTAGTCAAGTACAACACCACTTGGCAATGCCCCCAACCCTGCTTTGCTCTAGTTTGAGTTTTCTTGCCCAGGTCTGTATTGCCATCCTTCTACCATGCCTCCTGTCTAGCTGGGCTGACAAGCAAGCATCACCACAGCCAGTGTATTTGTTGAGATGGAGTCTTCCTAAATTTTTGCCAATTATGGTCTTGAATTGTGATCCTCCCAATCTCCACCTCCCAAGTAGCTCTGATTAGAGGTGTGAGCCACTGTACCTAGTCATTACTATCAATTTTGAATACGGAAGAAAGTAGTAAAATTTTGAGAATATAAGACAAAAAAAAAAAATTAAATCAGAGTAGGAAAGACAACCAAAGTGGAAAACCTGTGCACATGCTATGGATACTACAGTACCTGGTGACAGTTGGATGCTATAGATGTTTGGAAACTTTGGCATTTTTATATGAGGTTCAAGTCTAGGTACTATTGAGTAACTATAAGAATGTAGATTAATAAGTAAATGAGTGGAAGTAAAAACCCCAAGTACAAATATTTTTAATAACATGCAAATGAAGTAAATAATGCAAGGAGATTGAAAATGAGCAAAGAGACAGGAGAGTAAGTGATACTACAGAAAAACAGGGAAAGTTAAAAATGGGGAAAGATATCAACAATAATCGATGCATAGAAAAGGCCATTAATATGTCTTATATGCTACGTGGTCAGCTTGTCCTATGGCATTTTGAAAAATAATATCAATAGTAATCAGCCTTCAGCAGGGTTAGAAATGAAAAGGCTACCCTTCTTTTCAAATCTGCTTTGCAGATTTTGAAAGGAAGAAGAAATAGCAGGAGGTAGTTCTTTGTGGAAAGAGTTAGTACTAATGGGTCTGTTTTCTCTTGGATATGTAATTTATCTGAGGGAACTATCAGTAGACGGAAATGAGAGAGGGGGTCAAGAATCAAAGAAAGAATCATACAAATCAATAAGAAAGAAGAGGAGATTTATCCATAAAGAAACAAAATTTCCTTTGAGAAGTAAATCATGGTGAAACTGGAAACAGAATGTTTTGGAATTACCTTCTTGATCCTAGGTCATTTGCTTAAAGAGAAGAAGCTGGTATTTGTATGGGAAACTTCAAAGAGTAAAGATTCAAAGTAAAGTGGAGTAGAACATTGAAAGAAATGACATATACAATATAGGTCCAGTGAAATGAATACAATAAGTAGTACTGAATTTTGTGTAAATAGGAAGAAGTGAATTTGAAAATTTGTGTATTTGTTATGTAATAGTCTTGCAATTAACTCAAAGAACCAGGGAGGGACCAGGGGCAGGAGGACTTAGCTTATTCTAGTTCTGGCATTAGTAAGGCACACGTGCCAGGAGACTGAATCTGTCATGGTGGCAATAGAGTGGAAAACACGCTGAGTGTGTAGGGAAGGAGGGAACAACAGTAGGAGGGAAAGAAAGAGGGGCATATAAGTAAGGAGAACCTATAGCAATATTGGGAGAAAGATGTTGAAGGAGGAATAAATTGATTTGAAGTTTTACTTAGCTGAATGTTTGCATCTTGAAAGAAATGATGTGAACTTTGGAAGGCACCATATTTCACGTGAACAGAGGCTGATGCAGGTTTTATGCACTGCTGACTGCCTATAGTCTAGAACAGGCCTAAGTAGCTATAAAGCTCAGCTTCACCAATCCAGTCTAGACATTCATCAATTTTGTGAATAAAGTGTTTTTTCTCTTTTTTGTTTTGTTTTTAGAACAAAGACGTGCTCTTAAAATATATATATATTTTTATATATATGGTGCACAGCTTCTTTAATGTCACTGTGGCAGAGGTGAATCATTGCCACAGAGCCTCTATGGTCACAAAGCTTAAAATATTAACTATCTGGCTTTTTGCAGCAGAACAAAAAACAAAAACCTGCTAATCTTTATTTTGGAGTAGCGATTCTCAATGAAGGATGGGAGAAAGTAGGTGTGGTATGCATTTGTAAATTGAGAAGAATTTAAATGATTCAAATAATTGTTCCTTTCCAAATGCAGTCTCCACAATGCACTCAGGTCACTGGCTCCCAAGTGCTTTTTGTGCTTCTATCAGTAACTCAACCACACAAACTGTGTCACAAATGATCTTGCTTCACTCTACTGCACACAATTCTCTTGTGACTGAGAAAGACAGAGCACATGCATGCACTCACAAACATGCACACAGATATGTGCATGAAAGGGGAGGTGATGAAGAAAAGAAACCTAAACAAATGATCACAAACAAACATGGAGCTTTGGAGGTAAATGGAGACAGTTCCAGCTCTTAGATTTAACTTGAACAACTTGCACGAATTCATTCTATGAATTTCAGCTCTTCTCATCTGATAATTAAATTTATTTGGATGGTTAAGCAATAATATTTGTGAAAGTACCTAGCATATTGCCAGTAAATGATCAAGTATAAACTTGGTTTTGGCATTGGGAAAAGAACTTTCTCATTATTTAAGGATTAACTTAAAAATATATGTATATTATATAATATATCTCACCAGGATTTGAAAATTGGATTAATCCCTCAGCCCTTTTGTCTTACATTGATTATATTGATTTCCATATTATAATATAGTTTGTTTAAGGTAATCTTCTGGCAAAACCTGAACTCTTATAGACAATCATGTGTTTATATCTCTGCTTTCCTTCCCTATAATTCCATATATAAAATAAGAACTCAGTAATAAGTTTGTTTAAAGACAATAATATGCTTGTATAATGTAGCTCACTTTTTTAAATTACAATTGTCTTTTCATATATGTTTTCCTATAAATGAACAATATACTGCTATTGTTTGTTTATAAAAGCTTAGCAAAAGTGGGGTTGTGAATATTATAGATAAATATATAAAAATAATAGTTATTGATATGAACTGTTTCATAAACAATGAAATAGTGAATGGTATAAACATTAAAGTGTGTGCATTTGATATAGAATACTGGTTCTCTGGAATTGAATGAAAGTAAAGTTTAAAACAACACTTGAATGCTTCAGGAATAACTTGGCATGCCTCCAAAGTATGGAAGTATAAGGAAAACAGTTTAATTAGGACAAGCTTAGTGAACTGTTGACTGTGTAATCAGAAAGTGCTGTACCAAAACTGGAATTGTGGTTTACAAACTGCATTACCTTCTGTTCTCAGCAAATGGCAGTGAGGTTCACATAAGCAATGTACGCTATGAAGACACAGGAGCATACACTTGCATTGCCAGAAATGAAGCAGGAGTGGATGAGGACATCCTCTTCTCTTTTTGTGGAAGATTCTGCTCGAAAGACCCGTATGTACTGAAACACACACACACACCACACACACACACACACAGATTTATACACCGTATTTGACAGCTTTATAGAGTATAATCTTTGTAGCCTTTTTCAAAAAGCCCAGGTTCCAAATAACTCAGGCATGTACAATGAATTAAAGCAAACACTTTTCATGTGTAGGAAAGATGGGAATCTTGAAATAGTGAAGTAGATTTAAAGGCATTTTTTTACAAAGCTTGTGAAATTTTCCTCTGCAACATGAAATGATTTATTGAAAGAGTTTTAGGTCCTGCCTTTCTATTTTCTCATGTGAAAAACTTAATCTCTTGCAAAATCCTTTTCCCCAACAATATTTGGGAAATTCCAGGACCTTAAACATTTCCAAGTTGTGTCCTAGTATATTGAAGAGACTTGCATTTGTCCTGCCCTGGCCACTGCTTGGCAGCACTGGGAGAGCTGGGCAGGATTGCTCCCCTGCAACAGATGCTAGGGCTGCAGCCAGCACCACTCAGCTGTTCTTCAGTTAGTGTTAGAAATCCTTTGTCATCACAGTCCATACCATGTGATTGTCTCCTGACAGCTATGAGAAAAATGTAGGGTCTTTATTTTTTAAAAATTTTTGGTGTATACATATTTATCCATATTTATGAACTGCAATGTGTTAAGATTCTTATTACATTGGGTAGTAATCAACTCAGGTAATTGAACTTGTATCATTTTAAGGTATGAGTATATATTCAGATTACTTTCTCCTAGCTATTCTGACATAGGTTACATTATTATTCATTGTATGTACCTTGCTGTGCCATAAAACACCCAAACCTAATGGATGTTGATGAGCTGAGGGTGCTGAGAGTGGGTTTTTTTATTATAGCTTAATTGGCTGGAACTCAAGAATCTGTTTTAGTGTTTATCAATGAGCTTTGAAGGCAAGCACACAGGATTTTTTTTCCCTTTCCTCAGAAGCTACAGTGTGACTTCTTGGAGTAGGGACAGGTATACATGGAAGGACTGTCTCCCTAGCTGTCTTCTCTTCAGTATGATTTGCTATGCTTTCAATTTATACGAGTTGTGCAAGGGTCGTACATTTGGCGTCCTCTAGTCTAGCAGGCCCATTTCTCCGTACACAGATTTTGATCAAGGTTAAAATAAGATGACCATAAATCATCTATATTCTTCTCCGTAAATTAGGTGTATAGATATGAGTGGATCTAGTGAGGATGGAGCCTAGCTACCAATGTATCTTTATCCTTGTTTCTATCTGAGAAAGACAAACATCATTAGCAGCAAGATATTTAAAAATAAAATTTTAAAGTAGAAAAAATAAAGAAACCCAATTTCATGACCTAAATATGATGTATGATAATTTACTCCTATTGTATATTTCTACCAAATACCAGTGTGCTACTCATTTTCTGTTAGAAATTAATGTTAAGTAACTTTTTTTTTCCGGACTAGTTTTTAACTCAGAACCTTCCAGGCAAGCATTTTTACCACTTGAAACAATGCTGCTAGCCCTTTTCTGGTTTAGGTTCTTTACAGTAAGGTCTTGATTTCTGCCCAATTCTTCTGTGGGACTCCTCCTGTGCCTTGTACATAGCGGGATTCACAGGCATGAAACACATGTGCCTGGTTTCTTTGAGGAGATGGAATCTAACTAACATTTCTCCTGGGGGATCCTTCATCTTCACCCTGAGTACTCAACACTGAGTAGCTGGAATTACAGAGGCGAACTAAGAACTTCATTTTCTTTGTCCTTTATACTAATGTCTTGAAACATTTTAATTTCAACTCAGGATTCTGATTTCTTTTAATGTTTCTCATATATTTTGAATATATAAATAACATAGAAAGAAAGATATAAGTATGTGTGGACATCTATACTATTAGACATACAAATTTGAATTTCCTTTCAATATTGAAAAAGGATAGATTCCGCTGATTGGAACACATTTATTTTCTTTATTGTGATATTATATTTTCTAATTGTTATAAGATAAGATCAAAATCTCTGGCCAGAACCAGAGTCCATGCCTGTGAGATGTCAAAGCCCTTAGCTGCCCTGTATATTTATATGTTTCTCAGTTTCTGCTCTTCATTGTGTGTAGAAAACTCCACTGCCGTGCACTTCTTGTCTGTTTCTTTTTGAAAGATGCAGAGAAAAGAGATATTGAAACTCTAGTTTGCAGGGTTATAATGGAGAAAGATTTGCAAGTTTGACACAATACCTACTGCCTTTATTTGGCTATACTTTGTAGTAATCAGCCAGCTATTTTCTACATAATAGAATAGCCACAGTAGTTTCAATCACATTTTTTCTTATACTGCATTTCCCAATGATAAGATACTGTTGAGAGAATGACTCATGCAGAGCACTTATGACAGGACTTTCCTTCTACTCTCATCTTCAAATTGAAAACTTTTGAGTTACTATGTTCGATGTTGTTAACAAACCTCACTACAAGTTTTCTCAGTGTCAAATATACTACACAAATGTGCTCCAAAATAACATACTCTGAAATTATTTTAGGAATAGAGTTTGATATCTAAATCTTGTAGATGAATCATATGGATAGTGTGGTGTCTATAGCAGAGTAGGAAAAGATGGAATGACAGAGGGAGGCAGCTTCAAAGAAGTTTTATAATTTTAAAAACATCTTGTACATAACATATGCATTTGGAATGTTTCTATTTCCACTGGGAGGCAATTCTCAGGTAATGATTCAACTTCAAGGTTAAGGTAAATGGAAAGTAATGCAAACATATACTGCAATAGGATTTTAGGCTACTGGCTGCATTACATACAAAGCACAGAACATACCAGATTTTTCCAGAATTTTAGTAAAAACCATGATTAATCCAGATTCTTGAATATATTGGAATGTGAATGTCTAAAGGTATTGTAATCATTATACTTCCTTCCTTTTATTATTTATGCAGTGTTATAGTTGGAAATTCTAGGTTCTTACAACATCCTTACTTTAGAATTAAGTTTAAGGAAATAATAGTTGACTGTATTAACAAAAATTAATAGTTTGTTCTTAACTGATTACTGCAAACTAAAATTTAATTTTAAGATTCTTTAAAAGAATATTTATACACTTTCACTTTTTTTAAGAGGTGAAATTCTTTTTTTTTGAGGTGGATATCCAGTCACACATTCCATTCAGTATACACACTGATTGGTTTATTCTTACCAATTCATAAACAACACTGTCACAATGTTTTAAATATGTTTTCATCTGTTCTGATCTCTCTGCTACCAATTTATTGATCACTCGCACTTAATATTGTGTGAAAATAGAGTTTCCACTACCTCCCTCTCTCTCCCTATTTTCCTCTTCTTAGAATGACTTGAGTCCTTGACTGTGCACTTTCCATAGGAAAATTAACATTTTTTAATTCATATATTCAAGTGTGCATACATTGTTTGGGCCATTTCTCTCCCCCACCCCATGCCTCCTCCCGTTCTCCCCCAACCCCTCTTTTCCAGGCAGAACCTGTTCTGCCCTCTGCTCCCATTTTGTTGAAGAAAGACATAAGCAATAATAAGGGAGACATAGCATTTTTGCTAGTTGAGATAAGGATAGCTATACACAGAGATTCCTAGCATTGTTCCATGCACATGTGTATTACAACCCAAATTGATTCATCTCTACCTGACCTTGTCGCTACTTCCAGTCACCTTCCATATTGACCTCTGTCATTTTAAGGTTACTGTATTAGCTCCTCTGTAGTGGGGACATCAAATACTTTCAAGTTTCAGGTTTCCTACATATCCCCATTCCTCCCATAGTGGTCTCCCTTAGCATGTGACCCAAGTCCAACTACACTGCTGCATTTGCCCTAGATCTAAAGTTCGCATATGAGGAAGACCATACGATTTTTGGTCTTCTGTCCTAGCTAACCTCGCTCAGAATGATGTTCTCCAGTTCCATCCATTTACTTGAGAATGATAAGATTTCATTCTTCTTCATGGCTAAGTAAAATTCCATTGTGCACAAGTACCACATTTTTGAGGCTATTGTGAATGAAATTGTTTCCATATATTTCTTCTCAGTTTGCTCGTTGTTGATGTATAGAAAAGCAATTTTTTGTAAGTTGATTTTGTATCCTGCCACCTTACTATAGCTGTGTATGGTGTCTAAGAGTTTTTGGGTAGAGTTTTTTGGATCTTTTCAGATGTAGGATCATGTCATCTGCAAATAGGGATATTTTGACAGTTTCTTTCCCTATTTGCATTCCTTTTACTTCTTCTTCTTGCCTATGTGCTCTGGCTAGAAATTCCAGGACTGTGTTGAATAGGAGTGGGGATAGTGGTACCCTTGTCGTGTTTCTGAATTTAGTTGAAGTGGTTTCAGTTTTTCACCATTAAGTATGATGTTGTCTATAGGTTTTTCATATATAGCCTTTATAATGTTGAGGCACATTCCTTCTATTCCTAGTTTTCTTAGAGCTTTTATCATGAAGTGGTGCTGGATCTTATCAAAGACTTTTTCTGCATCTATTGAGATGATCAAGTGTTTTGTTTTGTTTCTATTAATGTGCTGTATTACATTTATAGATTTGAGTATGTTGAACCACTCCTGCATCCTTGGCATGGAGCCAACTTGGTCGTGGTGAATGATCTTTCTGATATGTTGTTGAATTCAGTTTGCCATTATTTTATTGAGGATTTTTGCATCTATGTTCATAATAAGACTGTCCTATAGTTCTCCTTTTAGAAGTCTTTGTCTGGGTTTGAGATGAGTGTAAAACTGGCTTCATCAAATGAGTTAGGCAGTGTTCCTTCCCTTTCTTTTCATGGAAAGTTTAAGGAGGGTTAGTATTAGTTCTTTGTTAAAGGTCTGATAGAAATCAGCTAGAATCTATCAGGTCCTTGACTTTTATTTTTTGGGAGACTCTTATTGCTGCTTCAATTTCATTTTGTGTTATATATCTATTCAGGTTATTAATATCCTTTTGGTTCAATTTTGGATGGTCATAAGTATGTAGAAATTTGCCCATTTCTTCA